CTGCAGCCCCCCCCCTCACGCTCCCCCCCCCTCCCGCCTCACCCTCTGCCACGCGCCTGCGCAGAGCCGGCCATACCCTAGTCTCACCGGTCGCCATTCCAGCCCAGACACTGGGAGAGCTGGGAACATCATTCTTTCTAAAAACAGTTAGAGGTCTGGGGAGAGGAGGTCCTTTCGGTACTACAGTGTGACATTTTGCCAGGCCTTTTTCTGAATTTGTTAAATATATTCACTCATTTAATCCTTACAACGGCCTAGGTGATAGGAAAATGAGTCCCCAGAGAAGTAAAGTGACTTGCGCAAGGTCACCCATCTAGCAATTGTTAGTGCCCTGGGTCCCCGCAGCTTAAACATAGTTCAAGGTTTTGAGAGCTCCTTTTTGACCACTTAAAGCACATCCTAAAAACTCCTCCTTGCCCCCTCCAACCATCTTTCCTATTTCTGTCTTCCTCTGGGTCAAATTCTTGCCTACTCTGATTCTATACTTTACCTAATTTATTCCTCAGCCTTTTCTTAATTGGACTGTCCCTCCTTAATGTTACTAAAATGGGGCCTGTCAAGGTCAATGTTGGTTTCCATGTTGCAGAATCCAATGGATGAAATACAGTTGGGGTTTAAGATGCTCAATTAACATGTGCATTCATATTAAGATAAATGCATATAAAAACTACTAAGATACTGTTTCTCATCTTTGAGGGTGGTATCAGAAAGTTAGATAATTGGGACCAGCAGTTAGCATAATGGGTATGTCATTGGACTCCCACATAGTCGACTGCGGTTCGAGTCCCAGCCACGGTGGCTTAAAACTCACGCCGGTTGCGTGTGTGTGTGCCCAAGATCCCGAGAAGACAGTGGAGGAGAAGGGATTGCGGCATGGCCATCCCCACTGGGGGGTGATTTCTTGCTTTCTGTCTCTGTCTTTCTCTGTCTGGTGAGTGCATGTGCCCTATAGCAAAAACCTCTCAAAAAAAAAAAAGTTAGATAATGCTCAATATCAGCAGATTGGGCAGAAACAGGCATTCTCATAAATTGCTGATGGAAGTTTAATGAGTAGAACATCTGTAGAGGGCAATTTGGCAAAATCTAGCAAGATAACAGATTCAGATACTGTTTGGCTCACCATTTGCACTTCTCGGAATTTATTTTACAGATAGATTCATACATGTGCTAAGAGATGTGTGTATAAGATGATACACTACAAGGCTGTTTATAACAGCAAGGAGTGGACACTTCCTAAGTCCTCGTTGGTAGTGTTCTCTTTAAATAAATTGATATAGCTATGAAATGGAACACTATGCAGCTGTCATTATAATATGGAGTTAAGGAATGATCATCAAGATATTTAGTTAAGTAAATAATGCATGGGCCAGCAGATGGTGTGGTGAAGGTGCTGGATCCCACATGGCTGACTCTGGTTCAAGTCCTGGACCCAGAGGCTTGGAAAACATACTGCGTGTGTGTGTGTGTGCACTCAAAATCCTGAGCAGAGAATGGAGGAGGAAGGATTGTAATGTGGCCATTCCCTCCGGGGTTGATTTCTCATGTTCCCTCTCTCTGACTCTTTCTGGCAAGTACATACACCCTAAGGCAAAAAAAAAAAAAAAAAAAAAAAAAAAAAAAAAAGCAAAAGCAAGATGCCAGGATGTAAGGGAATTGTGTACAAAGAGAAAGAAGGATTATAATAACATAATTATTGAAAGGATAGTAATATTTCAATTGTGATTGTTCTGCGTCAAGTGCTGTTCAGAGAATTTCACATATATCACTCATTAAAATCCTTTTGGCAGGTGGCATGGTGGTTAAGGGTGCTGAACTCCCACATGGCCAACTGAGGTTCGAGTCCTGGACCTGGTGGCTTGCTTTCTCACTTTCCCCCTCTCACTCTGTCTCTCTGTGGTCAAATTTAAAGAAATAAAGTTGAATAAAAAAATCCTTTTGGCTGGCAGGTGGCGTGGTACTTGAGGTACTGGATTCCCACATTGCCAACTTTGGTTTGAGTCCTGGACCCGGCAGCTTACTTCCCCACTTTTCCGTTCTCTCTCTCTGGTCAAATTAAGAAATAATAATAATTAATAAAAATAAATAAATAATCCTTTAAAAATTCTCGTAGCAACTCTATGAGGCAGGTGCTACTATTATTCTTACTTTATAGCTGAATAAATTAAGATGCAGAGAGGTGAAGGGATTTTTCCTAAGTTTACACAGCCATGAAGTGGTGGAACCAGGATATGAAATCCAGGAAGTCTGACTCTAGCATCTGTTCCTCTTAACCACTGTGCTAACTTATCAGTACATCATCTTATAAAAGAACCTGGAAGCACTGGTTACTTCCCAAGCGAAAGGAAGCTTTCACTTTATAATCTTTTGAATCTTTTGAGTTTTGAACCATCTCAATGTATACCTTTCTTTTTTCAAGCCTATTTTAAAAATATTTTTTATTGAAATTTTTTTATTTATAGTAGAGCATGTCGCATGCATGACCACGAGGTCTGGTCATGCTGCAATGCCCTTCCTTCAGTCCTCTAGCCCATTGGATCTTGGACACTCGTGCATGTACACAGCATGTTTTAGGCTGACCAAGCTGCTGATTTGACCTGCTGTTGCTATGTAGCATCTGGCTTCTCTTGAGCAGTTCATTACTGCTATGCCATGGAGAGAGCCCTGCTTTTTTTTCCTTATTAATAATTACTGGTGTGTGTGTGTGTGTGTGTGTGTGTGTGTACTCATGCATGCGAGAGAGAGAGACCCTCTCTGTGGGCATGCCACAGCCCTTTTTTTCCCTCTCATTCTTCATCCTGCCTGGATCTTGGGGACACATACTCAGAACGTTTTCCAAGTCACTAGGACTGGGATTCCAACCTCTGTTGGCCATGTGGGATCCAGCTCCCTATGCATAGTGCTTAACTGCTACACTGTGAGGTTGCCCCCTTACCTATTTCTTAAACACACAAAATTCACACAAATTTGTAATGAATACTCTCAACTGTAGCCTTACTGGAAAAGCTTCCATACAGGAGGGTTAAGAGCATGGTTCTTGGCATTCAACTGCTTGAATTTGAACTATACCTCTAATATTTATTCCTGTTTGACCTTGGACAGGTAAGATGGTTTAAAATGGTACCAATGAGGTTGATCAAACAAGATAATCACTGTAATGCACTTAGCACAGGATCCAACAAATGGTTCATTCTACCTCCTACACATCTCACCATTTCCTCTGCCACCACCCCTGGCTAAGGCGACCCTCTTCCCTGCCAATTTTAGCATCTCCTGTCTCTTCCCCCTCCCTTCTGTTTTCAGCACAGCCGTCAGAGCATCTATTTAAAATGCAAAGTTAACTATGTCACTACCCTACACAAATCCTCCCCATGGCTCCCCATTGCTTTTAGGAAAAATCCCAGAGCCTGGCATTCAAGGCTTTGCATGGTCTGGCCTCAGGTGGCCTCTCTCACTTCCTCCCTCCACAATCTTTTTTCTTTTTTAAAAATAACAAACATGTTTTTATTTTCTCATTACTTTGAAAACTGTGAACATTCTGTAATTCACTCGTAGTTTTTACTTCCAGGTCACTTCTTCATTGGGCCTCAATTCCTTTTTAAATAATACACTCTTGTTCCAGAAGGCAGTTAGCTTTTTATCATTCTTTCTGTCTAGATGACATCCAAACACAAATCCTATAGTGACAGGTATGTGAACCCAGTGGTCATGCACAATCTGAAGTAAGTTTTCCATGATTGCTGTGGCTCAGGCACCAACAATGACCCCGTGACCAAGGGCAGCACCGAGTTCAGCCAGCCCCTCCACAATCTTTGTCACTCTCTGTGCCCTGCCCATGACTTGCTGCCCCCTATCCCCCCACAGACACCAACCCAACTACATTAAGCCTTTGTTTCAAGGCCCTGCGTAACTATGTACTGAGTCCTAGTCTCCAATTCTGGCTCCCCCTAGATTTTAGTCCAAGTTTGATGGACAGAAATTATACAAATGAGTTATTTCTGCTCTGAGAGCTGGGAAGAGACCCTAGGCCAGACCTTCCTATATCACTCACAATACTGCCTCCAATTCTTTTGGGGTGGGGTTGA